GGTGAAGACATTGTTGAGACACTACTATTTTTATTGCCCCAGTCTTAATTACTTGCCTAATAACTGATTGTTTGTTCCAAGCAAACTGTGATAGTCGGATGAAGTGCAGAAAAAAAGGTGACTTTAACAACCTTTCACCTGCTCAACTTCTGTTGCTTCCCTGAACTAGTGATGCTGTAGGTTATACTTGGCTAAAAAAGGGCACGAGCCCTGTAGTCTATCAAATGCTGACCATCATACAGCAGCTCTCAGACCCGTAATCCTCTTTCCAGTTTACTACAGCAGAAGTTGCAAGCTGTGATATACACCTGGCCTTTTATGCAAGATGTATTTTCTTGAAGGTAGATCTGTTATTTCCAATCTCTTTCATGTAATATTTTTCAAGTTGATGTAGGAGGTAATCAGCTCTGTACAGTCTGGGACATGGTTGCAGCTGTTTTTGTGCTAGTCTAGATTCAGGGGGAATGAAGAGGGTTCTGTATTCAATTTGGCAGCCAAACTGAAAGTAGGGAGGAAAAAAGCTCTGAACAACTAAAATGAAAAAGGACAATTGTTTGTTGTTTTACTTTGAGGAAAACACATAACTTCACTTAATGTTCACGTAATGTGGCAGATATGGGCTCAGATCCTTTTTTCAAAAGATGTTTGAAGCTAGGCCTCCCACAATGTAGAATACTTTTATGCTTTAAATCAAAAGTTCCTGAAACAAAATATTTCAGAGCATAAAACCATGTAATCCTAGTATTTCTAATTTTTGTCACTTACAGTTTGACCTCTGGAATGGATTTTTATTTTTCTTTCAAATAAACAATTCACTCCCCAAAATGTACTAAATTCTTGTATGGACACAGGTTTGCCTATGTGGAAGCCAAGATGAGAGAGAGAAGACTAACAAACTTACAAAATGTATGTGTACTTCAGAAACAGTGAAAGGACTAGAGCTGGGTATGTACTTGGAACAGCTGAGTTTATTCTTCCTTGCATTTTCTAAAATGTGCCTGGGAATGGTGTAATTGTGACAAGATAAAGCCACTTCTGTTTTCAAAAATAGTGTCTGTAAGGAAGAAAGTCTACTGTAGCTATATGCTTTTCTTTCTAACAGAGGTTTGGCAGACCAAACAGTATCCATTGCTTTGTATTCTACCTATTGATAGCTATAGGTGGAATTTCTTGTTTATCTTTTTTATTGCTATTGGACACTTATCTAATGGTTTCAATTACTTTTCCCACAATAAACCTTTAATACTTTTTCTGATGATGTGATTGTTGATTGTACTATTTAACTTCCATTCCCTACCATAGTTCCTTGCTTTCACGTTAAATTAGTTTACAATTGTTTACTCTGGACTGATTTTGACATCTGCTGGATCAGTCACTTGAGTGATCAAAATCTTTTTGAAGCTCAGGGCATTGTTTTCTTTGTTTGCTTTTCTCCATACTTAGAAGACTTGAAGAATTTATAACCATTTACTGGATTTCTAAATTTACATCATATTTTATTTAGGAATTTTTTTAAGGTAAAGGTTTTGAACAGTGCTTAATATTGACACTAGAGATAAGTAATGTCACATCTTGGTTTGATTGCTTAGTTTCAGGCTTTACAAATTCCAATAGAAATGGAATAAAATTCTTCCAGTAGAAGAAATTATGGCATATATGGAGAGGAAGAATGAACCAAGGAGAAGGTTGGTGCTCTGAAACAATATCCTGAATGGGTAGTGTGCTGGAGTGACTGGGGAAGGAGGCTGGAGCAAGGATGGGGAATTTGAAGATGCAAAGTCTGAAACTGCTAGGGTTGAGGGACTGGGCTAAGAATTAGCTGCTGAGGGTTTTGATACATTATCAAAAGGATGTCCCATTCCAGAGCTTGAGCATCAGATCCAAAATCACTGAATTTAAATGGCCTTTTATTAGTGAGGAATAAAGTGTGATTTTGTAGTCCCTGACTATAGAAGATGGAAAAACTACTGCTGGCATCAGTCATTGTGAGCTGATATAACAAAAGTCTGTACAGAGGTCCAAAGGTCCTGATGCTGCTGGGATCTATCAGAGTTTCTGTATGATGCTGCAGATATCTGCTTTTCCATCTTCTTTTTCTTCTTAACCATCAAAATGTTCACATGTGCACACACAACTGAATTCAGAAGCTAAATTATGCCAAAATTTGGACTGTCTGGGTAGCTGAATCCATTCCCATCCTGGGGGTAGAGTCTGACATTGTTGTTACAGTTTGATTTCTGTAACTGCTTTTATTTGCCCTAAATACCCAACAGAGCTCACCCAGAAATAAAAGCAAGCTGAGTATAGCAGAAAGGACAGTGTGTGTGTGCGCGCACACACACCTTACTCGTAACAATACTGGAAGCTGCGCAATGAATCACATACTAGATGCAGGAGTAGAAAGTGTGGGAGGTTTGAGTATGAGAAGTACATTCTCCCCCCTGCCGCAGTGTTTTTGCTCCTTGTTGGGCAAATCACTTAAAAGTAAATGCTGTTTCCTAAACACCACGTCGCCTGGATGCGGACTTCTCCCTTCAGGAGCTCGCTGCGCGGCACGCTCTCGCTCCCTCCTTTCCCCGAGCTCCTTCCCGGAGGAGGTGCGGGCTGTGCCTCCCGCTGAAGCGGCGGCTGAGAGGCCGTC